AACATTATCGTTTTAAATAGTTTTACGTGCAAAGATGCAAAATGTTGACTATATGAACAAAATATTATATATCTATATCTACTTATGTTATATGACCTCCCCAGAAGATGATATCTTCCTTAAATTGCAGTATTTTATCGTGCATGGTACCTGATCAGCTCATCTCAAGCGTTAATAGGTTGTTTAGAATAGTAGGAATCATATAGTTGAGCATTTTAACAATGATTTCTTTTAGCCTTCTTGCTCTTCATCCCCCGACGAGTGCGAATTTTGAATTACCTGCGATCAAAAGAATTTACTAATGTCAACACTTCACTGGTTATGAATACAAAGGCCAGGTACAGGGGACTAATTAAAATGATACTGGTATTAGTTTTAGCTGTGCCAATAAATCGAGTGTAGTGTAAACGAGGTCATTTGTATACCACGATGTCAAAAATTTTGTACTTTCAAGGTGTTTAGATTTTCTACATCTTAGCAGCTATTAAAGATTTAAAGATAATGACCCAGCAATTATGCAGAATTATCATGATATTTTATTACCTCCATATTATATTCATTGTCGTCCATTTCATTTATTTTTTCGTCCATTTCATTTATTTTGACTTTCATCTCAGATTGGGTTTGTTTCATATCATTAAATTGTTTCTAAATGATACATAAAAAATATTGAAACATTGCCGGTATTTAATATACACGTACTTACACGTAGCGTAAAAACCGCACACGACAGCAACTGACTTACGCCAATGGCCATTTTTTGCTACTGAAGCACATAGCTCTGGTGTGCGCCGGCTTTTATAAAATTGGGCACGGCTACAGCCAATAAATTGAGCGCAGTGAAAACGGGCCAAATTTAATTGCAGGAAGAGAAATTTAAATCTATCTGCTCTGGGCTAAGTTACGATATGACTAAAAAGCGTGGTAATAAAGGAACAAAACATGAAAACAACCACCTAAATTAGAAAAAAGCACGAGAAGTGCTCAGGCAGTTGTTTGCCACATTTGAAATCAAGACTTTCTATATATTGGGCATGTGACTTTGAGGTCCAAAGAAATACAGTCACTGGAAACATGATATATTATTGTTTAGACTAGACTTAATAGTCGACTATGTTTACCAGCCTTCATTCTATACTCAATTACCTTCATCTTCTTTACTTTATGATATAAATTATCATGTCTTCTTTTAATTTCCGTCATCTCCATACAAAAATTCTGGTGTTCGGCCATGTCTCTTCTATTAAATTGCGATTTACAAAACTCACACTGCTCAGGCCCGTATTCGCAGCCATTCTTGTGTTTATGTAAATTTTCAAGTTTAACTTGTTCAGAACACCCACGATCGACGTAGTCACACTTGATTATCAGTGCTGACAAATAGTTCTTCATAAACCTTTGGGGATATTTCAAAGTCGCTAGAGTAAGGGGATCCCGACACTCTGGGCATGTTGCATTGATTTCAAGCCAATTTGATATACAATAAGAACAAAATGAGTGACTTCCATTTTCGCATAAACGTGGATTGTTTAGAACGCCATGGCAAACACAGCATAACAAATCGTCTTTTACTTCACCAATGAACCGTGATGGATCGTAACCGGGGCCCGTTTCGAGCAATTCCAACATGTCCATTACACCTGAAACATAATTTCATTAAAAGTTGAACTAATCATTTTTTTACACGACTTCTTGTGCAACAACACGTTTTGAAGATTTCACGGAACGGACGTAGTTTTTACCTGGACGCAAGAAGCGGGTCAAGTGGACACAGGATCGATGCAGTCAGACGCAGTAGCAAGCAATCTCGTTCCTCTAGCCCGAATCGCGGGCTCAGGGAATGAGATTCGGGATATAAGAAGTTTTCTTGGCAGTGGTGTAAAAAAGGTTGAATGACGTAATAAAGATTATGTTCATGGTGAAAGAATTTTGTACACTCTTTCTGCGAAGTATTCGTATTTTAATATATATAGTATCATTTTTGATAACCCTATAACTTACAATAGCGTTTTGATTATGTGTTCACTAGTGCAAACGATTCGTGTTGTGTTAGTGTTCACTGCTTCGTGTTCATATTGTGTATGACGTGTCAACACGCGACCGTCGAAAACAGTGAGATACAAGCAGCGATACCGATTCATATATTTCTCTCAGTTTTGTGAATGGTTAGGTAGACTGATTTGTCTGGCTAATTATAAACACTGATTAGGTCAATAAACTACCGAGTTCGTCACCTCCGACCATTCAGTAATCGAGTTCGCTATTAAGCCCATAGTGATTGATAACGAGGCTGAATTTAGAGACTTTCTGACTGATCTTTTGCAAAATCGCTAACAGCAAACTCTAAATTACTTCATTGAAATCATAGACAAGGGTTAATTATAAAATTCAGTTTAGAAAGGGTCAAGAAGTTTCCAGAAGTCCGCGATTTTAATGTTTATAATCTTCAGCAGTTTTTGAAGGTTTCGCTTCCACAGACTGAAAGCGAATGATCATGCGGCTTAAACGTCACAAAGAGAATGAAATTTAACATACCCGAGTATATATACGTGGTTTACACTTTCAAAGATTGAAGTTGGACCAAACGCCGTCAATAAGATTTTGCGCCTGAAAAGCAGTTAATGTTGTAATGTTTATTGTGTTAAGGTGGCTCAGTACAGTTTTCAAGAATTCAATTGTTCATCACTTTGACATGTTCAAACAACGCATTTTTGTGATTTATTCCAGAGATATTCGGGTTTTTATATATTTTGATGTCTCTACTTTTGAATCGTATTAGTTTTAGTAACAGATCGTCCGTTGCTATGGCGACATACGCGTACAAAATTCACTCCAAAATGACCAATTGCCTCGGATAGTTGGAAAACAAGCACGGTGACCCCCAATTTTTTTTCGTCCATTATTTTACTTGGAAGAAAAACTAACAATTGGCAAAATATAAAAAAATTCTATAATACCAAATTTTTGAAAAATGTAAAAATGACATTTTTTTCAATAATTTTTTTTGCTATTATAGAATTTTTTTATATTTTGCTAATTGTTAGTTTTCCTTCCAAAAAATATTGGACGAAAAAAAATTGGGGGTCACCGTGCTTGTTTTCCAACTATCCCAGGCAATTTGCCATTTTGGAGTGAATTTTGTACACGTATGTTGCCATAGCAACGGATGATTTGTTACTAAAACTAATACGATTCAAAAGTAGAAACATCAAAATATATAAAACCCCCAATATCTCTAGAATAAATCACAAAAATGCGTTGTTTGAACGTGTCAAAGTGATGAACGATGGAATTTTTGAAAACTGTATCCAGCCACCTTAAATAAATCCCTTTATATCAACGTTTGTTTTTGAAATCGTTATAAAGGGCTAAAAACATTAATAACAATAACATTTTTACTATCATGCTGCGAAAATTGTATTTTTCTCAGACATTTGCATTTTCTTGATGTTCTAGGTGTTAACATATTCCAAGTTTTATCAATGAGCAACGTGGCAGCGTCTTCTAACAACGTCGTGTCAAATGTGGTATAACAACTGTCTAAAATAAAAAAAAAACACTTCTCGATGTTTAACCTATATGGGCATTCGTCGGAGTAACGTGCGTGCTTTTAAAAGCATTTTTGTTATTTCAGGCAGTTGTTAAACCACATTTGATGTAAGATTTGAAGTAATATTTAATGGTTCATTGATTTATTTATCATCTCTTATGCAAGATTTACCAGACTTGGTTTCGGTTTTAACAATACCATTTCCAGCACCATGCCGCGAAGATTCATTTACATTTTGAGAGACTCGTTTGCATATTTATTGTTCCTTTGATTGCAAATGTTGTTCCTTTGAATCAAAGATTATAGTTGGTCAAGGTAATTTAATTTTTCCTGATATTTGACTGAAGTTTAGCGCGTTTGATTTAGTTTCATTCATTTGGTTTTGAGTTTGTGAAATTATATCGCTTAGCCGAAATTTTCTCGCCCCCCCCCCCCGAACTCGAACTAAATAAAATGCGGTGTGTTAATTGTACAGTATATCACTGCATACAAGTTTTTTAAAAGCAGCTCTCCATCAGAGTACCCCAAAATTAATATCGATCGCCGTGACTTGAGAATAATCAAACATAAAAAACTATTACGTCGATAATATTTAGACAAAAATTAAGGTTGATTGATATTGTTATATTTTAATACAAATTAACTGAATACATTAATGGCTCATTAATACCACGTATAACAGTGTTACCACCGTGCAGGCTAAACAAGATTACAATCATTATTGGCTGTAGAAATGAAAAGCTCAGATCGCACCTGCTTTCAGCCAATGAAGAAATATAAAGAATCGCAAAGAATATAATTAATCGCGTAATAATAACACGCCTAATCATAGGCAGCCCGGTCAATGCGGGTACCGCATACCATCTTATGTATATAATTATCCTAAGGTTGGTAACTCTCTGACAAAAAATATAATACATACATTAATGCCATCGCTTGAAACACAAAAATTACGCTAGTTTCTTGAAAAAAAACGAGATATAAAAACCTTGGATATATTCACTACATTTATCTGTCATATTTAGACTTGAAAACAACTTAAAAATGCTTAAATTTTGCAAATAAAAAGTGTATTTTTATCGAAATTTTGTTTTAAACAGAGGCGGGATGCAATTTACACGACAAACGTCATCATCGGAAAAATCGTCGGCAAATTTCTGATTGGCTGTTGAAAGTTCGGAAAAATCAGAAGGCCAACTCAATGAAGAAAAATTGTCTTCGTGATTTTCCGAACTTTCAACAGCGAATCAGAGATTTGCCGACGATGACGTTTGTCGAGTAAATTGCATCCCGCCTATATTTAACAAAATTTCGATAAAAATACACTTTTGATTTGCAAAATTTAAGCATTTTTAAGTTTTAAGTCTAAAAATGACAGATTAATGTAGTAAATATATCCAAGGTGTTTTGTATCTAATTTTTTTTTAAGAAACTAGCGTAATTTTTGTGTTTCAAGCGATGGTGTTAATTTATGTATTATATTTTTCGAGAGAGTTGCCGCATTGACTGGGTTGCCTATGGCCTAGTTAAAACAACAAATGCTTCGCAAATGTACTTCGCAACATTGTTCCGTTCTCGAAATTTCGAAGTTAAATAAAAAGAGCGAAAAATTGCGTCACAACATCATCGTTTTAAATAGTTTTACGTGCAAAGATGCAAAAAAAATCGTTCTTCAACAAATGCATGAAAAATCGAAGTTCGATCCAAAAAAATCAATATCCCTCGCTATGACGTCACAACCGGTGAAAATGTGAAATTCAACCGAATATTGAGATTTATTTGGAGGGTTTTGACCAATCAGGAACGCGAATACAGTAGAAATTTATAAAAAGAGTTAATAATCGTTTTTTGTTGTTCCGTTGTTCCGATAATTTTCTTCCGCCTCATACGCCTATGACTTAGAGAAATGTATAGTTGTAAGGTTTAACAACAGCAGCTGCCCAACATCTTTCTTCTATCATTCCTGGCAGTTCTTCCCAGCCATTTCCACCAATGGTGAAGGTTTCCACTGAGTTGAGATATCCCTCCTCATTATTCCGTCCGCCAAACACGAAAATGACGTCATCGATGATTACGACAGAGCTGCCGTACCTTTTGTGCTGCATGGATGGTAACATCTCAGATCGCCCGGTCACCGTGTGATATGTGATGACGTCATTGACTGCACGGCCTCTCATATCCATGCCCCCGATAACGATAATATTCTCACCCGAAGTAACCGAGGACATACGAGAAACCGGCTGAGGTAACGACGGACAAGGCTTGAACTCATTCTCACCAAAATCGTAAACGACAACGCTGTCAGTGGCATCTTTACTACGTCCGGTAGATGCTCCGCCCAAGATAAACAGCTTTCCATTAACAAGTTCTGCTCTGTGATGTCTTCTTTGCTCGGGCATTCTCGTCAGCAGCTCGACAGTAAAAGGTGGGGTAAGAGCAATCTGATAGATTTCGTCCAATGTTCTCCTTTCGTGCCAATTACACCCGCCTATTACATATAAATTTCCTTCATGGACAACGACATCGTGGCCAAATAATTTAACAGGCAGTTTTCCAAATATTGCGCATTGCAAAACATGTCGGCTCATCTTCAAAACCTTGATCTTGTCACTGTCACCTTCATCATCGACACCACCAATAGCAAGGATGCGATTGTCGTGAACACACAATGCCGACGATACCAAAGGTTGCTCCAATTGTTGCACAATTCTAGAGCTCCTCTCAACAATACAATACAGTTCAACAGTATTTGAAGAAGTAGTTTCGCTTTTACAACCATACCCACCAGAAAATATGATAATACCTGTTGCATTCCTTGCTAATAGATCATTTAGCACTCCTTTAAACCCCTCGCAATCTTGTTTACTCGTTAAAATGTTCTCCTAAAATGTAAAATTTTAATTTTTAGTCATTACACTACCATAATGGTGTTATGGTATGCTATGGTGTTATATCCGACCATAATGGTTGTAGATTTCAAACCGGAACTGTCATAACTTAGTTTAATGTTATGTTATATATATAATGTTATGTTAATTCGCGGTATAAATAGTCGTTCACTATCAGTTTGATCATACGATACAAAGATCCACCAAGAGTCTCCACAATTCAAGAAGCGAACGATTTTCTACCGGACAGACAAATTAATCTGTAAGTTTCATGTATGTATTCGTATGGTCGTATTCGTACTTGTCGTATGGTACTTGTTCGTATTCCTCGTATTCGTACCGTACTAATCTCTGTAAATATTCGTTTAGTTGAACCGCTATATGATTAAAATTCTACGAGTTCAAAGTACACGTCTGGTTAAGACTGAGTCTAACAATGGTATTTGAACTTTGTGGTAGCAACATTTGGTCTGTGGAAAAAAACAAGCTCTGCATGAATGCATGCAGGGCAATAATTATGAGGATAAATGGTCAATAATTTTAAAATATTACCACTACCTCCATTTTATTCACTTTGTTTGTCTCAAGGTTTGTCGAAAGGTTTTGACGAGAATATTAGAAATTGAAAAGCGCTTGTTTTCTTCATTTTATTTACGTTTATTATATAATATACAGTGTTGCTGGCGAATACTCGTTTTGAAAAGCTAAAATAACACATGTACGACTATCGTGTTTGATCCACAAAAAAAACTTGAAACGAAACTTGTTATTTAACGGCAGCCGGTAAATCATAAAATAAAACTTGTTGTTAAGTACATGCAAGATTTTATGCGCCTGCTAAAACATGTGGTGACTATTAAATCATGAAATCGGTTAAAACCATTAGTAAAAGCTGTTTCGTATTGACTAGAAACATGGTTTTAAAAATGACCGGAAAAGTAAACGAAAATACCACAAAATATTCTAAATGTACAAAACGTCTAGAACGATAATCATGGGGGGGGAGGGTGAGGGTGAAGAGGTGTTTATTCACATATTCAGTCATAGGTAGCCCAATGCGCTGCATTACGTACGTCACTTGGGTCACGTATATAGTATATAATAATATAAGGTTGGCAAGAATATTTTATTTTCAATGTACATCGTTTAAATATGATCAAAATATTAACATCTATTCTATAAAATACGCCAAAAAAATAACAGCCCCTAAGTGTAGGGTAGTTTTACTAAATTTGTACGTCGGTTTTTTGCAATGAAACGCGATTAAAAAATGAAACTATGCCAAAAGTTTGTTGAAATTTGCCGTGTCCCGATGCGGGATGCCTGTTGCCGTGCAAAAACATCAATTTGAAAACTCGTATACGCGATCCTATTGGTCATGCAGCTTTGACCGTTTTGTGATGACCAATAGGATCGCGTATACGAGTTTTCAAATTGATGTTTTTGCACGGCAACAGGCATCCTGCATAGGGACACGGCAAATTTCAACAAACTTTTGGCATATTTTCATTTTTTAATCGCGTTTCATTGCAAAAAAACGACGTACAAATTTAGTAAAACTACCCTACACTTAGGGGCTGCTATTTTTTGGCGTATTTTATAGAATAGATGTTAATATTTTGATCATATTTAAACGATGTATATTGAAAATAAAATATTCTTGCCAACCTTATATTATTTATACTATATACGTGACCCGAGTGACGTACGTAATGCAGCGCATTGGGCTACCTATGATTCAGTATCAATAATCCCCCTCAATTATCGCTCTATAGTTTCGGCCCGGCTTCCAGTGCGATCCAGCAGTCGTACTAATTACCAATAGACCTTTTGCATAATAGACCAACTTACGATCTAGATAACAAGGAGGAAATAAATCACCACAGCTAAAAAGAGCATGCTTAGTTGGTATAATTGCCCACTTTGGCTGGAAAATGTCGAGTAGTATGGAAAATATAGCCATGCGAAGTTGGCAATTTTGTATTTACTTTTTACTACGGCCGGAAGCGTTTAAACTAATTTAGTTAAACACTTCCAGCCGTAGTAAAAAGTATACAAAATTGGCAACTTCGCATGGCTATATTTTCCGTACTTTACAATATTTTGCAGCCAAACTTGGTAATTTTACTAAATTTAGTATGCACTTTTCGGAAATTTCCTTTTTCTTGGCTAAATCAAAAGTTGGTCTATTATGCACATCACAAGATTACCTTCGAATTACTACCTTATTTTTCGAAGATATGTGGCCCTCCTCACTAAGCCGTCAGAACATTTAAATGATGGCAGAAAAAATTATGAACAATTACCTTCATTTTCATAACTTCCATACGTACATCATCATCTTGACATTCATTACTTTTTGTCTCACCATTTTTCATTTTGTTCGCATGAATTCGTGGAAGTATGACCTTCCTTGTACACATTGGTGACTACCATCAGATCTTTCACTTGCGAATTCTCCACCACTTGTGGTGCTTTCCCACTTATGTCTAGGGTTACGTGAAATCTTTCTTGTCTTTCAGACATAATCGTCATCATAGTTGTCAACATATCCTTTATTTCCTTTTGATTCATTTTGATGTCCTTTAAGTCCTGAATATTGGAGCGATCAAACAGACAGAAACTTTTATGGTAGTTTTCATCTCTTTTGTTCACCTGCTGGCCACAATTTCCACACGTAACTGGACGATATTCACAAACACTGACGTGATCGTCCAACATTTTAAGCTGAATAAATATGGGACACCCTCGACTGTTGTAATCACACTTGATTCTCAGCTGCGACAAAATCTTCGGCAAAAAAAAATGGGGATGTTTCAAAGTTTTTTGAGTGAGATGTTGTTGACATTTCGGGCAGGATTGAGAATGGGCAAGATATTCTTCAATACAACTCAGACAAAAGTAGTGCTCTTCTGCCTCGCATAATCGTGGATTGTTAAAAACACGGTGGCAAATATTGCATAGATAATCTTCGTTGACTGGATCAAGAAAGCGGTTTGGATCATAACCATGGGCCATTAGCAGTAATGTTCAAATTGAATCTGAAACATGAACATGATTACATTGAAAGTTAAACCCGGCTCTTCAATCATACATGCTGATTATTTCAAAGCTCGACAAACATAAATTCACAAGTGATGGGTAAAAAAGGATTAAAAACCATCAAAAACTCATTGAAATATGATGCAACTCGTAGTCTACGCTGATTGCCTGAGTTTGAAAACTCGATGCATTACAACATAAATAGATACCCATTTTTAGTGTCTAGGTTTACGCCGAAGAAGGGTCGCGATATAGTGGCACGTCCGAACGAGATCGAGTAAAAACGAATTAAAAAAACTTGAATTCAAAACTGGAAGGAGCGATTGAACTCTTTTAAGTCTTTAAACAGCAAAAACGAAACGGGGTTCTAAACAAGGGTATTTCAGAGAAAATCAAAAGGCATAAATAGATTCTGAGTAAGGTAGTAACGTGGATCGGGGAGTCTAAACGTGAAAGTAAACATGGCAAATTTGGGAAAAGGCGAATCACTTGAAGACATAGAAGCGCGAGGCTGTTTAATTGAAGAAAATATTGACCGAGGCGTCACCAAAATAACACGGTTGCGAAATTATTTGAACGATGGCGAGTTTCAGAACAGTCTATCGTTTTGAAACAAATTTTAAGCAGAAATCGGCTCTTCGAACATGGCAGCGGTGACAAAGTTTGCATACTTGAAGGAGCTCTTAGAATCGAAGCTGCGTAGAAAAATCGAATTACGGTCAACTCGGCCCACTAACTAACTCGGCCCAACCAACTCGGCCCACTGTCGAGACTAAGTCGGCCCACTGCCGAGGCCAAGTCGGCCCACTACCGAGACCAACTCGGCCAACATCGGACAATGTTATTCAATGTATAAATGTGTTAAATATTTTAAAATTGGAAAGGAAAAGGTACTCTAGAAGTTGTTACTGCAATATCGTACTGTATGATCGCTTTTTATCCAAGGTAAGTCAAGTCAAAATTTCAATATTGGCATACTAAGATTTGAAAATCGCAAGTACAGGCAAGTGAATTCATTGCTGAGAGTTGATTACTTGTATAAATATATGACATTCGAAGTTTACAGTAGTCAAACACATGTGATTTTGGTTTTTTTAATGCCGTGAAAGCTATTTGCCAAGAAATGACTTTTAGACAAGACATATAAACATACAATATACAAATATACGTAATAGAATAGTTAATAATTATTTACATTATTTACATCGATATATACAGTGTATCCTATTAAATACCCCGCCACCATCACAGTTCACTGGGTGCAAGGGCCATTGACATGGGCACAAGCATGCAACAGTTGTTTGCTGGTCATTTCACCAGCAATGAATTTGTCCCAATGTTCAAATATTCTGCCTTGTAGTTTTCTGTATTTGCGCCGTTGTTGACGTTTCAATTTGTTGTCAGAAACTAGACGAACCTGTACGGACACCAGACGAGATTCGCGATGTAACAGGTCAACCAGCAAGTAGAAGGGCAGGGATCCACGCCTTGCGTTGTGGTTTAAACGATGGTGCCAACCCTCAACATCATTGTTGGTTCTAACACTTTTTTTGAATATGCTCCAATTCTCCGGAGACCAAACTGTGGAATTGATCCAGGTATCACTGATGTACGCGACCAGGGCTTGGAGGACAGGTGTGGTTGCCAAAGCCTTCAGCTGCTCAAACATCTGGCTAATGTGCTCGTGGGGCAAAAATGGCAAGGCCATCAACCGTCTAATGTATTTATGGGTTGAGTCGTCCTCGTTGTATGCTGTGGTCAGGCCCAACCCTTGTACTTTCCGCCAAATTGCTTGGGTCCAATGGAACACACAGCCTTGAACTGATGCACCTGGGAACACCTTTGCCACTGCCTGCCATAACGCATGCTCGAAGTCGATGACAACGCCTTTCAAGCAGAGACCATCAGCAAGGAGGTTCTTGATGGCCTTCAACACGTGCTTGTAGTCTCGCCTTTTTTTGCCAGACATTAAGATAAATGCCAACGGTATCTGTTAATATGAAAAAATAAAATACAGCAATTTAATTTGGATCTAAAAATGAGGACTTAGTTGAATGTATTAAATATATTATATATATATATTATATATATTTACCTGCTTCACGTCACTGTTTTGTCTCACAAAGGCATGAATTGAGAATAGCTGCTTGAATGGATCTTTCACAACTTTGAAAGTGGCATCCATGTACCAAACCTTTGCTTGCTTTAGTAGGGCGATCATTTCTGGGGTGCTGAATATGAGGTGGCGCCGACCTCCAACCTTCACGTCTGCCTGCAGGAAATCATCTGGTATGTGGCGTTCGTCAACCTCAAACTCCAGATCAGTGGGCTCCTGTGGTCTTGTCTTCTGTCTTTTCCGGTTTGCTTGCCTAGCGAGATTACAAACCTTAGGAACAGCAGCGCACGGGGCATCTGTGAAATGGGCAACCAGAACTTCATCGGCGATAGCTCCTGCAGATCGAAAGAAGTCTTCCATGGCTTTGGCTTTCACCTCACTGATTATCTATACAAAGCAGAGATGATCAAGAAGACAAATGTTATGACATGTAGATATAAGGTGTTGACTTTTAAATATGAACATGCGAAATGACTACATGTGTTTCACCTTTGCTGCTGTACCTATGCCACTGGACGGTTGATGTGAATGGACCTGCACACCTGGACTAAAGTCTGTGCCATGCTGCCTCACAGTGGCCAGACAATTCGTTGTCTTGTTGCGGACAGTACAACGCCAGACAATGTTGTCCTCGCCATACTTGCGTTTAACCGTGTACGAATGTCCAAGGTTGTCCACCAACTTACATTTACCGCGTTGCGTAGAGGACTCGATTTTCTCATACTCGATGACACGGATGGTGTCCTCAGGAACAATGTTGCCTGGAGCGCCATCTCTAATTGACTCTTCCTGAACTGTGGGTGGAATTTCGTAACTGCCAAAATCTTCATTTTGTGCCGAACTTTCGCGTGAGGATGGTGGAGTTGAGGAATCATTGCCCAAGTTCACTATCAGGTCAACCATTTCACTATCAACGAGTTCACTATCTGTATGAAAAAATAAATAAATCTTGGTTGGTTGCATGGAATAAATAAAAAAAATAGTGTTTCAGTTATGAAGGGAATAATAATTTTATAGCATATTTCACATACCAACAGTTGAAGAAGGTATGATGGTAGGTTGAATAGAAGCTTGAGAAGCACCAACGCCTACCACTGTACTACCTAAAGATTGAAAAGTTCATATGATTAAAATATTGCAGTTTTATCACAGTGTTTCTTTCTATATAAACAATAATTATTCCAATGCTTATATATGAGCATTTTTCTAATAGTTACCATGGGGAATTCTCGAGCTTTCGGCAAGTGGCAAAAGAAATCCAGCGCTCATGTTGAGGCAATCATCACAACGCCAGTCGATATCCTGTCCATTCCTGACAGCGCTCCTGTACCGCTGTTGGGATATCCCGGTGTCGCACGTTCTGTGCTGCCATCGGTCACATCCATCGCATTGAATGCCTTCTTGTCTTGCTCGGACGGAGTTCTTGCAGCGAATGCAAAGATCTTGATCGGCCATCGTTAAAAAGAGTCTTGAAGTGTTGTAAACTGTGGTGTCGCGAACGAGAAGTGAAAGAAAATGCTTTGAATCATCACACCTTTTTATAAACTATTACTATGATGACTCATCGGCCTCATGAATGTTTGTTGTCTCTGTGAAAACAATAACAGTGGCAAAACAACAGCATTAACGAAGGGTTATTAACAGTTACTAATTACTACCACTATGCAGATGAAACTCTGATACATTTCTGTCTTATGGATTTCCTATATCAATACGTTTCATTCATTCGTTGTTTCTCAATATGAAATGTAGCATAAGCAACATGCGGCGAAGAAGCAATTGTATCAAACTAGCAACCGTATCTTGGTCACGATTCTATGGTTAAAAAATCTTGACCAAAATGATTATCAATCGTGACTAATTTCCTCGTCGGGTAATTAGTCACGGCTGATGATCTTTTTACCACTTTGTTTTTAACTTCAGGCCTGTTTGAAACCTCAGTGGTTGAAACGATTACATGACAAATGTTTAGTCAGTGCGTGCACGATCACATGAGGTTTTGAAAATGTCCCCGGGTTTAAAAAGCTACCCGAGTTATTCGAACATTCGTAGTAGTGTCATTTATACGCACTGACTAAAAACAAAGTGGTAAAAAATTTTTCAGGCTGAAGTTAAAAACAAAGTGGTAAAAAGATCATCAGCCGTGACTAATTACCCGACGAGGAAATTAGTCACGATTGATAATCATTTTGGTCAAGATTTTTTAACCATAGAATCGTGACCAAGATACGGTTGCTAGTTTGATACAATTGCTTCTTCGCCGCATGTTGCTTATGCTACATTTCATATTGAGAAACAACGAATGAATGAAACGTATTGATATAGGAAATCCATAAGACAGAAATGTATCAGAGTTTCATCTGCATAGTGGTAGTAATTAGTAACTGTTAATAACCCTTCGTTAATGCTGTTGTTTTGCCACTGTTATTGTTTTCACAGAGACAACAAACATTCATGAGGCCGATGAGTCATCATAGTAATAGTTTATAAAAAGGTGTGATGATTCAAAGCATTTTCTTTCACTTCTCGTTCGCGACACCACAGTTTACAACACTTCAAGACTCTTTTTAACGATGGCCGATCAAGATCTTTGCATTCGCTGCAAGAACTCCGTCCGAGCAAGACAAGAAGGCATTCAATGCGATGGATGTGACCGATGGCAGCACAGAACGTGCGACACCGGGATATCCCAACAGCGGTACAGGAGCGCTGTCAGGAATGGACAGGATATCGACTGGCGTTGTGATGATTGCCTCAACATGAGCGCTGGATTTCTTTTGCCACTTGCCGAAAGCTCGAGAATTCCCCATGGTAACTATTAGAAAAATGCTCATATATAAGCATTGGAATAATTATTGTTTATATAGAAAGAAACACTGTGATAAAACTGCAATATTTTAATCATATGAACTTTTCAATCTTTAGGTAGTACAGTGGTAGGCGTTGGTGCTTCTCAAGCTTCTATTCAACCTACCATCATACCTTCTTCAACTGTTGGTATGTGAAATATGCTATAAAATTATTATTCCCTTCATAACTGAAACACTATTTTTTTTTTATTCCATGCAACCAACCAAGATTTATTTATTTTTTCATACAGATAGTGAACTCGTTGATAGTGAAATGGTTGACCTGATAGTGAACTTGGGCAATGATTCCTCAACTCCACCATCCTCACGCGAAAGTTCGGCACAAAATGAAGATTTTGGCAGTTACGAAATTCCACCCACAGTTCAGGAAGAGTCAATTAGAGATGGCGCTCCAGGCAACATTGTTCCTGAGGACACCATCCGTGTCATCGAGTATGAGAAAATCGAGTCCTCTACGCAACGCGGTAAATGTAAGTTGGTGGACAACCTTGGACATTCGTACACGGTTAAACGCAAGTATGGCGAGGACAACATTGTCTGGCGTTGTACTGTCCGCAACAAGACAACGAATTGTCTGGCCACTGTGAGGCAGCATGGCACAGACTTTAGTCCAGGTGTGCAGGTCCATTCACATCAACCGTCCAGTGGCATAGGTACAGCAGCAAAGGTGAAACACATGTAGTCATTTCGCATGTTCATATTTAAAAGTCAACACCTTATATCTACATGTCATAACATTTGTCTTCTTGATCATCTCTGCTTTGTATAGATAATCAGTGAGGTGAAAGCCAAAGCCATGGAAGACTTCTTTCGATCTGCAGGAGCTATCGCCGATGAAGTTCTGGTTGCCCATTTCACAGATGCCCCGTGCGCTGCTGTTCCTAAGGTTTGTAATCTCGCTAGGCAAGCAAACCGGAAAAGACAGAAGACAAGACCACAGGAGCCCACTGATCTGGAGTTTGAGGTTGACGAACGCCACATACCAGATGATTTCCTGCAGGCAGACGTGAAGGTTGGAGGTCGGCGCCACCTCATATTCAGCACCCCAGAAATGATCGCCCTACTAAAGCAAGCAAAGGTTTGGTACATGGATGCCACTTTCAAAGTTGTGAAAGATCCATTCAAGCAGCTATTCTCAATTCATGCCTTTGTGAGACAAAACAGTGACGTGAAGCAGGTAAATATATATATATATATATATATATATAATATATTTAATACATTCAACTAAGTCCTCATTTTTAGATCCAAATTAAATTGCTGTATTTTATTTTTTCATATTAACAGATACCGTTGGCATTTATCTTAATGTCTGGCAAAAAAAGGCGAGACTACAAGCACGTGTTGAAGGCCATCAAGAACCTCCTTGCTGATGGTCTCTGCTTGAAAGGCGTTGTCATCGACTTCGAGCATGCGTTATGGCAGGCAGTGGCAAAGGTGTTCCCAGGTGCATCAGTTCAAGGCTGTGTGTTCCATTGGACCCAAGCAATTTGGCGGAAAGTACAAGGGTTGGGCCTGACCACAGCATACAACGAGGACGACTCAACCCATAAATACATTAGACGGTTGATGGCCTTGCCATTTTTGCCCCACGAGCACATTAGCCAGATGTTTGAGCAGCTGAAGGCTTTGGCAACCACACCTGTCCTCCAAGCCCTGGTCGCGTACATCAGTGATACCTGGATCAATTCCACAGTTTGGTCTCCGGAGAATTGGAGCATATTCAAAAAAGTGTTAGAACCAACAATGATGTTGAGGGTTGGCACCATCGTTTAAACCACAACGCAAGGCGTGGATCCCTGCCCTTCTACTTGCTGGTTGACCTGTTACATCGCGAATCTCGTCTGGTGTCCGTACAGGTTCGTCTAGTTTCTGACAACAAATTGAAACGTCAACAACGGCGCAAATACAGAAAACTACAAGGCAGAATATTTGAACATTGGGACAAATTCATTGCTGGTGAAATGACCAGCAAACAACTGTTGCATGCTTGTGCCCATGTCAATGGCCCTTGCACCCAGTGAACTGTGATGGTGGCGGGGTATTTAATAGGATACACTGTATATATCGATGTAAATAATGTAAATAATTATTAACTATTCTATTACGTATATTTGTATATTGTATGTTTATATGTCTTGTCTAAAAGTCATTTCTTGGCAAATAGCTTTCACGGCATTAAAAAAACCAAAATCACATGTGTTTGACTACTGTAAACTTCGAATGTCATATATTTATACAAGTAATCAACTCTCAGCAATGAATTCACTTGCCTGTACTTGCGATTTTCAAATCTTAGTATGCCAATATTGAAATTTTGACTTGACTTACCTTGGATAAAAAGCGATCATACAGTACGATATTGCAGTAACAACTTCTAGAGTACCTTTTCCTTTCCAATTTTAAAATATTTAACACATTTGTACATTGAATAACATTGTCCGATGTTGGGCCGAGTTGGTCTCGGTAGTGGGCCGACTTGGCCTCGGCAGTGGGCCGACTTAGTCTCGACAGTGGGCCGAGTTGGTTGGGCCGAGTTAGTTAGTGGGCCGAGTTGACCTGACACCGAAAAATCGACGGTTTACAAATCTAAGAGAAAAGGCTACGACAGAGGCAACAATATCTTGAAGGCTGTCTGAATACGGGAAGGTTAGTGAAATCGTAAATAAGTATATCGAAAATGTCATAGCTCTACCAGTTGTTGTGGGTTCTCATCTTTCAAAAGTGCATGAATTCTATCACTAACGAGCATATACATGAAAACTTTAACCCAAGGTCTTTAAAAGAAGACGTTGATCAGTTCAGAGAAGGAATTGTGGAAAAGGCAGATATGGCTCCTACCGGAAGAGAGTATTATATTCCACATATGGAATATATATATATATATATATATATATATATATATATATATATATATATATATATATATATATATATATATATATATACTCGGCGGCATCGCGTGCTAAAATGGCGAATAAATATCGTGATGCGCCCAAATATGGACATGCCACGCCATTTACTCGCTATTTTCAAGTCGTCTTTGACGTTCACATCCTCATGCTAAATCTCCCTAATTTTGGAGCGTGCTACTTGTGTTGACCGCAATCGAAGAAGCTCTTTGAAAATTTATATATCACACAATATTTGACGTATCTATAGATGTTCTTGTCCGAAAGCTTTGCGAACGCTTGTCAAACTCAAAGACTCGGCGGCATCGCGTACAAACTAAAGCAAATGTATAAGCAACCTTACCTGATGCTTTATCGCGCCAAAACTGCTAGTACTTTGTGGAAACCTCGAAAAAATTTGTGGCAAAGCTCGCTTGAGAAATGAGAATAGCTGCCTGTTAACGTTTAGTATGACCAGTAACGTAACGACAACGTTAACTGCACCCAAATCTCAATATTCCTTAGCAGGAGCAGCGCAGTTCCTCAGGATTCATCCGAAATTTCCTATCTTACAGTATTCTCAATTCTCATTTTAATGATTAAAAATTTAAAATCCACAATGATTAAAGCCATGCTTGAAGTTCAAAGGAACTTGGTAAAGCCCATGTTTACGAGGCACTGCTATACTAGTTTAAAATTCCAAAAAATACTGAGTAATGGTTCCAAAAATTTCTTGAAATAGAATTCACTTGTTTAAGGAAAATTTGAATGACCGGAAGTGTTCGATAATCGATTTCGTCAATCGTCATTCGTCAAAGCGATTTGATTCATTTTAATTTTTAACACAATAACATTATGTGCGTGGTGCCAGGGGCCGGTTGTATCAAGCCCGTTTAGTTTAAACGGCGGATAAGTTCAAAATAGAAAGCAAGTCTATCGTTGTATTCAACAAGCAAACTAAATGTTTTTAACCTTAATACAACGACACTGTTTACAACTACATATTCAGTGCATAATATTTAAGTTGACTCATTCAAGAGAGTTGTAAGAGTGTTATTTAATTTTGACTTATCCACCGTTTAAGCTAAACGGGCTTGATAAAACCAGCCCCAGTTGTCAAATGAAAAATTTCTGGGGACAGACTGAGATACCGTAAAACAATTTTCACTGATGTCGTGTGATTTGCAATGTATACAGGGGCAGAAAATCCGTTAAACTAAAGCCACTACAGTATAACTTGTTTGTCTTAAAGTTGTACAACTGTATAAAATGGCATTTTAACTTTAAGTAATATATTACCCATACATGTGCAATGAAAT